GCTTTGATTTAGCCAAACATATCCAAAGCCGTGAGAGAAGAGTAAATGCTTAATGTTTGATGCCCAGGTTACGTAACCAACACTATCACGATAGACAAGCATTTCGTAGCATTTTCTTGGGATTCGTTCCCACGACATCTCTGTTATTTTGAGCCAGTATCTGAGTAAACGTAAATATGAACAAATATATAACGGGTATCTACCACATTCGCCATAGACCATATGACTTGGAGCTGATTCAGAAACATTTAGTATGACAAATTAAACCATTTGAACATTTACTGGAGTCTTTTATCTGTTGCAAACAGAAATTGTTTCAGATTTGGTAAAAAACATAACTTTGCATTAAATCTTATTTATTGCACAGGATCTTTTGTTGTTTAGTATATATTATTACTTATATGGCCTCGACCAGAAAAAGGGAGAGCCTAGTGGTTAAAACATTGGCTCGTGACACCGAAGACCTGGGTTGATATCCAATATGGGTACAATGAGTGAAGCCCATTTCTGGTGTCCCCCAGTGATATTGCTGGAATATTGCTAAAAGCAGCATTAAACCATAGTAACTTACTCGCTCAACCATAAATGGAATAACACCTTTAAAATCTACAGTTGGAATCTTAAGATTTGTTCTCGGCTGATGATAATAAATAACATTTCGCACTTGTGAGTAGAATGTGAATGCAATGGGTTAATACTGTTAATTTTACAAGATTTTTGACAATATTAAGACTCATATTGCCTCGACCATAAATGGAATAATGCCATTAAAATCTACAATTAATGGAATCTTAAGATTTCTTCACGACTACTGATAGTAAATTCTTGTGAGCAGAATCTGAATGCAATGGGTCAGTATTTCTAATTTTAAGAGATTTTTGACTATTTTATGACTCATATCACCTTGACCAAAAGTGGGATAATGCCTTTAAAATCTACAATTAATGGAATCTTAAGATTTCTTGTTGGCTGCAGAAAGTAAATAACATTTCACACTTGTGAGCAGAATCTGAATGCAATGGGTCAATATTTCTAATTGTAAGAGATTTTTTACTATATTATGACTCGTATCACCTTGACCAGAAGTGGGATAATGCCTTTAAAATCTACAATTAATGGAATCTTAAGATTTCTTGTCGGTTGATGATAGTAAATAATATTTCACACTTATGAGCAGAATCTTAATGTAATGGGTCAGTATTTCTAATTTTAAGAGATTTTTTACTATATCATGACTCATATCACCTTGACCAGAAGTGGGATAATGCCTTTAAAATCTACAATTAATGGAATCTTAAGATTTCTTCTCGGTTGATGACAGTCAATAACATTTCACACTTGTGAGCAAAATCTTTATGTAATGGGTCAATATTTCTAATTTTAAGAGATTTTTGACTATATTTTGACCCATATCACCTTGACCAGAAGTGCGATAATGCCTTTAAAAGTACAATTAATGGAATCTAAAGGTTTCTTCTCGGTTTATGATAGTAAATAATATTTCACACTTGTGAGCAGAATCTTTATGTTATGGGTCAATAATACTAATTGTAAGAGATTTTTGACTATTTTATGACTCATATCACCTTGACCAGAAGTGGGATAATGCCTTTAAAATCTACAATTAATGGAATCTTAAGATTTCTTGTCGGTTGATGATAGTAAATAACATTTCAAACCTATGAACAAAGGTCTAAATGTAATGGGTCAGTATTTCTAATTTTAAGAGATTTTTTACTATATCATGACTCATATCACCTTGACCAGAAGTGGGATAATGCCTTTAAAATCTACAATTAATGGAATCTAAAGATTTCTTCTCGGTTGATGATAGTAAATAATATTTCACACTTGTGGACTGAATCTTAATGTAATGGGTCAATACTGCTATTTATAAGAGACCTTTTACTATATTATCACTCATGTCCCTTTGACCAGAAATGGGATAGCCCTTTCACATGTACAAATAATGGAATACTTGTAGCTGATTTTTATTAATTATCGATTAGATATTTACCCTTGTATTACTGTAATTAAGCCGTGCAGAAGCGGCATAACACCTTTAAAATTTATTAACTGTTGAATATTTATAATTAATTTTAGCTTTTGAAAGTGATTAGGACCACAAACTTAGATAATATTGAGGGAGGTCATGATTGGTACTTTTATAGCAGTATTATACCAGTAAGTGTGTTACACAAGGAGTGTCAGAATTCAGAAATTCTTGTATTTACCGAGTGAGGGTGAAGGTAATACATGGATTCTTACATGAGTTTTGTAAAACAGAATATGTACTGTGTTTATCCACGTTTATCCACGTAATGCCAATCGCCAAGCACGGGTACTATCTTATTCCGTGTATTTTATCTTCCGCTGTCAGGGGTGCGATTGGTTAGCCTATTGGTCAAAGCGTTCGCTCGTCACGTCGAAGGCCCGGGTTCGATTCCCATCATGTGTTCAATGAGTAAACCCTATTTCTGGTGTCCCATGATACTCCAGGAATGCTGCTAAAAGCAGTGTAAATACATATTCACCCACTTACTCACTCCTTCTGCAGACGTCTATCCACTAGACCACTCAGGCAGTTGATTTCGTGTAGAAGGGGTCCCCAGCAACACATGCTTAATTTTAATTGTCTTACTAGGTGACTTCATGGATCGGAGGTTCAACGTCCTCCGACGTGCTGGATGTTTGCTTATAATTACAATCACTATTTTGCTCTCTGCCCATGTGGACCAACATTTTACTGCAAGAACCAGTAACAGCAAAGCTGACCATGCAGGTAATATTCTCTTGATCGGATGGGGAGTCCGGCTTAGAATCGTATAATGAGAGGCGACTAACGAGCCTCGGGTAGTCAGGTTCGTTATTTGGTTGATTGCGAGACATCGTACATGTCGGCGTGGGACGTTGTTCATACTTAAACCAATCGTTTATTTACATGTATTTATATCGGGGTACATGACACACAATTAACGAAGTCACTATACAAACATGCCCACCCGGTCCATCGATTGTGGTGCCCGTGAAGACCCGGGGTAGAATAGGTCTTTTCAGCAATCCATGCTTGCCCTAAAAGGCGACTATGCTTCTCGTAAAAGGCAGCTAACGGGATCGGGTGGTCTGGCTCACTGACTTGGTTGATGCATGTCATCGTATCCCAAATGCATGGATCGATGCTCATGATGTCTATCACTGGATTGTCCGTGTTTTCTGGTCCAGACTCGATTATTTACAGACCGCCGTCATATAGCTGGAATATTGCTCAGTGCGGCGTTAAACAACCAACCAACCATCGATTGTCGCCTAACATGACAAGCGAAGCGGTGGGTATATTTTAAGCAATGCCCAACATAGACATACACAATGCACTGTCCATGGATCATCGTGATTTTAGGCTAGATATATAAATATATTATTTCGACTTGCTTCAATATATCTTTCCTTTATTTCAAATTGAAGCTGCCTGGTTCCTAAAATACTATGGAGTAAGAGTCATATCCGTCTTACCGCCTATATCTGTTAGTTATACATTTATATTTATACATTCATTATAAATTTGCACACCAAACTTCTGAGCTTGCATTACCTGCATCATGTATATGTGATAGGGTTAAGTTAAGGAGGTATTTGAGGTTACCACTAACTTGTATATGTGGGTAGAATGCCATTCTGAAACAATCGTCAATATCCAGCTTGGATACTTCTTAGCATGTTTCAAAGCTTACATTGGTCTGCATCTACAGCATTCTGAAGTATGTAAAATATAATACATCCGATACAAACCCTCTATCGTTATCTATCGTTCTGAGTGATGTATCCCCACACCCCGCGTTTCATTCTGAGTAATGTATATTTTATGTCCGATGTACCTGTGTACTTCCCCGTAACTTTGTAAAGAAGAATTATAAAACACTTTCATCTTGTGTAATTTTCGCCTCAGTCTTCTGGCAAACCATATACAATTAACCCATCGAACTAATTAAAAGAAGTGGAAAGAGCTTGTCTAAATACAGAGGCATGTGAAATAATTGTTTTGAAATTATATAAATATGATTTCTCACATCTACTCATGTGTGAATTACAAGGATTCCCTTCAGCAGTTACATTAAATAAATTAATGAGGATACATGTTTTGCATTTCTATTCAGATCGTGGGATTGGAGGAGACCGCACGTTAAATTAAACAGAATACGGAAAATTGTTTACAGTTACAAACAAAACAAAATCTAAATGGAATGCATAATGTGTCGGGGCTCTTTTATTTAACGGCCACAATCCGAAATATTTCAGAAACCCCTCGAGTTACCGCTTTTACTTTTGTAATATGGCCGATTCCATTACATTCTATACACTATTGTGACCACAATGTGATGTAGAAACACATCCTTGATTTCAATTATTGATCTAATTATAACATAATTTGTTAAAAGAAATATCGCACAGACACTGTGACATTTGTGCATAAATGTGAATTGCCGCACAGAAAGGCGTGTGAATATTTGTCAAGTACAAAATAACAAAAAAATAATAATAACTAAAGATGTTTCCAATTTATAGTGAAGAATTTAATGTGCGTTATTTATTTGGAATGGGACATGGAAATATACAAAAGATCATATTCAGTACGGTCCCCCCCCCCCCCCCCCCCCCCCCTATAAACTAAATCATATTCCGCATATATATCGCCATGTGTTTTAGAGCTAACCGAAAGCATTACCGCTGTAAATGGGGTTTTGCGAAATTGTGGACTGTTTATCCCAGTTCTGGGCCCGGTTGTTCAGAACCCGGTTATTTTAACGTCAGGTTAACTCCTAACCAACCGTTAAATATTTAACCACACGTTAGTTAACCAGCCGTTAAAATACTGTTGCAGGATCAATAGATAACCATTAGGTTAGCTAACCACTCGGTTAAATTTTAACATCTTGGTTAAAGCACCGATTAGGTAAATATTATCCCAGAATTCCAAGCGTTAGTACTTCCGTCACTGTGTCGTATCGAATAATGGCCGAAACAGCGTCGATGACTGAGGAAACTCCAAGAAAAATAAGAAAGAAAAGAAACAGGAATTTTTCTGTGGATGAAGAAAATATCATCCAGTCAATGGTGGAGAGTAATTCACAAGTACTTCATGAAAAACTGAGCAGTGAAGTTACCAATAAGAAAAAGTCTGCTATTTGGATGGCTATCACCAAGACAGTCAACATGAAGGGCGTAGCGCTTCGATCTGTTGATGAGGTGAAGGAGAAATGGAGCAACATGACAAGAAAGGCCAAGAAAACCTTCACGGACTACAGGCTGCAACAGAGGAAGACCGGAGGGGGACCCCCACCATCCGAACCGAGTCAGGCTACTTCTCGAATTATTGAGATAATGCAAGATTCAGCAAGTTTCAGCGGGATATCAGGGGGCTTAGAATCGGAAATTCTTCCAAGTAAGTGCTTTCATAGTAACATATTTTATAAAAGCTGTCAATCTGTGCTGAAATAAGGGTATATCTATGGAATTGTACTAAGCCGCCTACTCATTTTCATACGTTCGAAAGTCGTCTGTTTATGTTGACACGGAATATCCCTTTTCTATATTTAGACATGACCTTGAACTTTTTCGAAAGAATGTGTTTGCCTCCCATCTCTACAATATATGAACAATGCAGCCAACTTTGTATGAACTTTTACTATTCACGTGAGATTCACGAGTATTATTATTATATCAACCCAGTCTACGATGCTGTAAACCGTAGAAACGAATATAAGATTGTTGAACACAATTTCGTGAGCCTCCATCAGGCGACGGAATGTGACGCAATTTCTCTTCTGTGGTGTCAACATCGAGTCTAAAGCCTATTGTTTTAGCAAGAGCGGGATATCTGCTGTAACAGTGGATACGTAAAGTAATGCTATTCCAAAAACTTATGACAAACCTGACTTGGTCACGTTTATATTTCACAAATTCATCTGTGAGCAAAGATTATTTATGAGCACGCTTCCGCTCCTCCATATGTAGAGGTCAAGGTCAGTAAGGTAAATTATTGTGAAGCGGTAGTAAAATGAATTTAATGAAAATATAATAAAATGAATAATTCAGTTACACACATTAAAACGAAACGAATAGTCAGAGCCATAAAGACACAGTCAACATAATTTCGGTCTCCTGAATTTGCAATGAAGTGAATATTCTGTTGATGTTAGTCAATACATTAATACCCAATACCATTCAAAGTATATTGTCTTTCTCTGAATCATAAATGATTAAAACAAGAGTAGATCCGTATATAAGTTTTCTTAAGCCGTAATCCCTAATAGAAACACAGACAAAACCATAAATATTTCTATTGATAATTTTTTATTCCTCCAGGTTGTGCTGAACGTTCATCAGTGGCTGATCCTGGGTTGCCAACTGGTGCCACAGATCCTACTCCAGCAGCTACTACCTCAACCCCAACATCACAAAGTCCTGAAGTCAGAGAATCTCAAGAAACAGAGCACAGTGAAGCAGCACCAAGACTTGATGACGGACGTCCAGCCAGGCAACTCAAGTTCAGAAAAGAAATTACAAAACTTAGTTCTTCAGAAAGAGTCTACCAATTACAGGAAAGAGTTCTATCAGGAGAGCTAGAAAAACAGGAAATGGAAAAAAAGAAACTTAAGCTACAAATTCAACTCCTTGAGCAAATACTACAACGTGATGATATTGACAATTTCAGTCCATCTCAACTGTTACTTTCTATGATGTAATAAACCTGCAGTTTAATTATCACTATATTTAATTCTTGTGTCCTCTGTTTGTAGTTTATTAGCTGGAGAAGAAGGTATTGGCAATATGATCTCTAATGCCTCGTCCATCATGCCTTCCGCCATGTGTGTCCACTGTTGGCTGTTCATCTGGGTTGTCGTTGTCATCTTGTAATGGCTCATTCAGTAATATGGATATATTGTGGAGGACAGCACAGGCAAGGACAATCTGACACCCACGGCGTGGACTCATCCTTATCTGTTGAATAAACAAGAAATGTTTGTGTCAAATACATAAATACAGAATGGCACATTTAAATCTACATTTTAGAAGCAACTTGTTTGCTTCTTTGAATTATTAATATAATTACTAGTAATTGGATATGTTAGTTAGGATTATTGGAAAATTATTTGTTTCTGCTATGTGGTCGATGTAAAATGTGAACCATTGGAACACACAACACCATGACTCCAAACCTTAAAGTTATGAAAAAAAATCAAGATTAGATGTAGAAAAGTAAAACATTGGTCAAATTAAGTACACAAATATACTATGCATATTTACCTCAGAATGAAGTACATGAAACCGTCTTTTCCATCGACCAAATGTTCTTTCTATTGTAACTCTTGTAGCACACAAGCTGTCATTGTATCTCTGCTGAGCATTGCCTTGTGGAGTCATGTATGGGGTTTGGAGAAAAGGCCTGCAAGGATATCCACTGTCTCCCAATAGAAAGCCATCTGATATTGAAGTGTGCGACCTCTCTAAGAATTCACACAAAGTAGAGGTTCTAAATATGTGGCTATCATGAGTTGATCCCGGCCATTTAGCACACACATTCGTAAATTTACCTACAAATTAGACAATAATTAAAACAATAAGCAATGTTCGTGATGGATTAATGGATTTTCTATTATAGGCATATATATTATATATTACAAACTTCTTACAGCTATATTTTCTTAAAATTACAGTCTCTTGACACAGCTTTGAGCTGAAAAGAACTTTAAAAACATCCCTTGTTAGCTGACTAGAATATCCCATTTGTATTTATTAAGAGTAATGAGAGCATTTACGCAAACCTTTCATTATTTATCTAATTCCGAATCTTTTTAATGCGGAATTTTATAGACCTTGGAAGGGAAGCTACTCTAATTGCAAAAAGGGACAGTACTCTAATCTCACAAGACGTACCTTCGTGGTCACACACTGCCTGTACGTTGATACTGTGGTATCCTTTCCGATTAACGTAAGCTGGTTCATCCCTGGTCGGTGCCTGAATACGTATGTGCGTACCATCAATGCAACCTAGGACACTCGGAAAACCACCAAGGGCGAAAAATCCATCTTGAACCTGACGTATGTAGCATTCTCGTGTTGGCCATTTTATGAATTCGTTCTTTCTTTTAACCAAGGCATCAGTCACATCGACTATGACACGTGAAACTGTACTTTTGTCCACCCCTATCGTATCACCAATCACTTGAAGGAAACTACCACTTGCGTAAAAACGGAAAGCTATCATCAGTTGTTGATTGACGTTTAGAGCATGGCTACGTTGTGTAGGGCGCTCCAAATCTTCCCTCAGTATATTGGCGATGTAGTTGATAGATTCCCGCCCAAATCTGTACCTATCACAAAGTTCACTGTCTGTGTAGTTTATTAATGCAAAATTTACAGCTCGGAATCGCTTCTGTTGTCTCGCATTAACCTCTGGAACCATGAAAGCGGCGCTAGGCCTAACCATGAACGCCATTTTGTTTCAAAGATAACCAAGGTGTTAAGTATTTAACAGAGGTCAGGAGGTGTGTTAACTTTAACGGGTGTTTAACCAGTCGTTAAAGATAACCATGCTTTGGGAAACAACATAACCATTTGGTTAAATTTAACGGAGAGTTAACACTGACTTAACGGCTGGTTAAGAGTTAACCGGGTTCTGAACAACCGGGCCCTGGTCGCTACATACCTCTACCGTTAGTTAGCTTGACCCCAATCCCCTAACTCCACATCCGCAACCCCACTTTGTTACACCACGTGATCAGCCCGCTCAGCTTTTAAACACACACAGGGTTCCGACTGCGTTTTAGCCTGTAACCCATATTTACCGAGCCCCTCTCTCAACACAGATAGGACTTATCGATCAGTCTCCTAACTTGGACACGTGGATTTTAAAGAGACCCATAACGAGGCTTATGGTTCGAAGATGGTTTCGGGAGATCAGATCAGCGAGTCAGCGTTTATATTCGGAACATTGGCCATCTCCTCCGCTGCAAAATATGCATTTGGCGCTTACACAAGATGGCAGAAATTACAACGTTTTCAGCTGGTGGGGCGTGTTACCGCATTGAATCTGTTCCCAGTCAAGTCGTGCGGAGGAATCTCAGTTCAGCGCGCGCTGTGCAGTCGCCTCGGGTTGAAAGTTCAAGGGGTCACAGACAGGTGAAGGATTTTGAACTTTATGAATGGATTGCATGATTCTGTTGCAATACCCATTGTGTAATAACTGTTTATTATTTATTTATGGTAGTTCATTGTCGTGTGATATAGACCATGTAACGTATCTCATATTTAAATTAATATTTAGATAATATTAATAAGACATAAATACTTGTATTTGACTTGTCAGCGGTGTCACATCAGCTGGAAATTGGCTGCTTAAATTTAAAGCAAAGGACGTTGATTATTTCAAATAATCTGTTTCACTTACGCTAATAAATAGGGATAATTGTATCACCACATGGATATGTTTTGATTCACGAACCAGTTTAGAAAGACAGTGTTTTATGTGTGTCAAGGTGGCACAAGGTTTTACTGACACTGACTAGACTAACATCTAGTCTCTTAAATGAATATATCGTACAGAAAAAAAGCAGTTGTTAAAATATCTTAATAAAAATAAAATGGAGCCCAGAGACTCTCTTCATTTCCCGATACTGTAGTAATCTAGACTTGCCAAACATTATAGACTTGCATGGGCTGTATTTGATATATTTGTATCAGGGTCTGTAAGACAGACTAGGCACTAACCTAAATATATATTTATTTAGGTCCGTGGTCTAGGGAACCCCGTGATCAATGTAATGAAATGGTGTAGTGTACTGCAAGATTTGATATTTACTTAAATTACTGGACCTTAATAGTTCGTGTCCAGAATTGGTACAATGAATATTATTGTGCGTCCCTTTGGATGCGACCCATTTTTTTCTGCATCCATTCATAATATGTGTGCATACTGGCCGCACGTTTCTGCATCATGTATAACCCTGGTGGTTAGGTGCATGTTTTGCCGTATCTGTGTCAATGCTTTATCAGACTTGTAAATGTCCTGCCACAACTTGGAAACAGATTATGATGTCAGTAAGTTTTGTAGGATTAACTCACACCACAACTCACAACAACATCAACTTGTTGATAATCAGTTCTCGACCGGCCAAACGAGTGGTTGAGAGTTTGATCATTTCAGTCCAAATATCAATACGAATACGATTTCACGACAAAGTCTACACTTTCAGCAGGGTATTCCCCATTTTCTTCATTTTCCCGCGTTTTAATGGCCTCGCTTTGAGAATGCGAAATGTGATATCTAAAACTGGCCCCTAAGAGAGATAAGCACTCTCTTCGATGACATCTAGTTCAACCGCCCCAGGAAGGCAGAGAGTAACACACAAACATGGTGTCCTGCTATGTCTGCAGTAATATTTGTGTTAGTACATTCGTCAAAGAATAACACAAAACAATATACTTTAGTGTCTTTTAAATGTTATTATCACAGATAGAATCAAACTGTTTTGTAAGTGACTGATTGTCAGGAAAACCATAATGTTTATGTTACATTTGTTAATTATGCTCAAAAATACACAAGGATACTATGTATTAACAACAATACGATACAACTGTTACAAACTGTAAACATCACAGATATTGTTTTCATGCATTTACAAAGATGTTATTATGTTACAGTAATTTCAACAGGCATGAATTCTGTGATTAAAGAGGAAATATAGGTTATTAACTGAGGATCTTTATCATGTTGATGCGTTTGCCATTTCATGATAAAGAAATCATGATAGTGTTGAGCCCCATATTTAATTTAAGTCAGAAAATTCCATTGACATGTGTATCTGTTAAAAGAATACATGTAATATATTTAGTTGTGTCAACAAGATATGGTGCTTTGTTGTAGTGGAGAGATCGAGTCTCCACGGGGATTAACAAGGTACCATATTAAAACCAACACAGTCACATATATCCTATGCCGCATCAGCACATTTTAAGTTTTCCACTCACTAGTACATGCCATCTAAACACGACTGGTCAAGGTAAAACGTGGCCTGTGGTAGATAACACAACCTTTCTTGAGTAAAACGTGATCTATGATAGATAACACAACCTTTCTTGAGTAAAACGTGATCTATGATAGATATCACAACCTTTCTTGAGTAAAACGTAATCTATGATAGATAACACAACCTTTCTTGAGTAAATCGTGATCTATGATAGATAACACAACCTTTATGGAGTAAAACGTGATCTATGATAGATAACACAACCTTTATTGAGTAAAACGTGATCTATGGTAGATATCACAACCTTTCTTGAGTAAAACGTGATCTATGATAGATATGACAACCTTTCTTGTGTAAAACGTGATCTATGATATACTAAACACAAACAGTTAAGGATCATGAAATCTTTTTATGTACCGAAACTCAGTCTTTATTTCCAAAAATACCCCCTCAATGATCCCTTACTGTTTGTGGGAAAGACTTCCGTCTGTATCCGCCCTTCAAATGTTTTATATGTATGCATTGCCGCCCAATCCTTTTAAGCAGATATATTTTTGAGGGGGGATACGGGCGAAAGTCTTACCCTTTTGTTCAGTATATTTAAGAGTAGGGTTTACTTAATTTTCTTGTTTGTACTGTGTTCCATTTATTTGATATCTGCATTTCTGTCAACGACTGCGTTATGTCGATGTTGTTATTTCATGTCTATTTCATCATGGCCTGGTGTCCTCGTCCTACATTGTGGAGTCAATTGCTGATGTCGACTGAAATAGACGACGACAGTGTTATTCTACTGGTCTGAGCAGCTGACCTAGCGCTCCAGATAAACATATCACTAAGCTATTTAGTACACTGAAGGTTTAGGTAGATGGTTTAAACAGAAATATTATCCAGCCACACGAAGAAAAGCACCGCACCATTTTCGGATCAAATAAATATATTTATGGTGAAACAAATAACGAAAAGAACTCACCTCGAACAATGATTAACACTTCCCTGAAAATTTGTGACTGATGAATGTTTTGTAGATATTTGAATGAATGTTTTTGTTAGATTGTTATGATTCGATCCAGGAAAATGTCTCACATTTGGTAACACAGAATCCGAATGATGAGAATGTGAAAACAACTAACCTTGTTGCCTGATACTGTGCGCGCCTCCGTGGTCTAGTGGTAGAGCATCCGCCCGAAGAGCGGATGGTCCGGGGTTCGATCCCCGGCCGCGTCATACCAAAATACGTTTAAAGATAGTACTTGTTGTTATCTTGTCTCGCGCTCGGTTTAAGGGGTATAAGGGGCCGAAACAAGGACTGGTCGACTTGGAGTCAGTATACTGTGTCTGAGTGTGGTATTCATGTTAAACTGCGTCATGGTGTCTCAGTGGGCTAGCACTATAAATTAGTCCGGACTAGTACAAGCAGCCACCCACGCATTACATCAGCAGACGCGACGTTAAAACCCATTTCACCTCAACTGATATTGAAAGACGAAATGTGTCCCTTGGCCCCCCGAGGTGACACAATTAAATGGACTCCGCTCGACGGTCTGTCGCCCATATTCAGTATCGACCTGGACATTGTAATTCTAAAATTATAATTCTAAGAGAACCTCGAGTATTAAGAAACTGAGAATGGGATAAGTATAGGCTGAAAGAGCTAAGTATAGGATGAGTAAATAGGCTGCCAGAGCCGAGAAGGTAGTCTCTCTTACAGACCCCAGAACATATAATTATTTAATACTACGTTCACTAGTTTCCCACTCTTCCCCTTCCCAGCTCAAGCAGCATATACTCATCCCCCTTTTCAGCTCAAGGGGTCCACACTACTGGAGGGTTCATGAAATGAGGGCGATTGTTTTGTTAAATATATGCGCTGGAGTATATGCAGGAGACCACCCAGTCCCACTCACCATCTAAAGTTAGGGGACACTTAAGATCATTTCCATGAAAGTCGTCGTTATGTTCATATCAATCAGTCTTTATTCATGCTACTGATGAGGCCAAAGGCTTATAGTACATTGTCTGGGGCGTGTTACAAGACCGACAACTAGACTTCTATGGCGTTTGTTTTCACAACTATGATTTGTACGCGATTTTTCAAGCTTCTGGGTAAAATCGAACAATACTGTTTGTACTTGTCCTATTCAAGGACCTGCTCGTGTTCAAATGTTAAAAACGCTCCCCGAAAAGCCCTTATATCGACTTGTTTGACACATGTTAACCTTTTCTCTGTATTTTGTTTTGTCAATAGTCTGAAATTAATCTTATCATCTTCTATACTAACACGGGAGCTGAGGTGGTCCTATTATCTAAGCGGCCGCATTTTGCTATGCAGAGTTGCACCCCTTTTAAAAAGGGCGTGCTAATACCTATTATCGTGGGTTCGAAACCCGTCTCGCCCTGGTTAAATTTCTAGGTTTTTCAGCACTATACCCGTGCTCCTGGTTTTCATCAAAGTCATAAACGTCTAAGACCTGTATCACTTCGGGCTTTCTTCCTACATCAAGCTGACACGCCGTGATATAACTACTGTTCAAAGCGGCGTTAAACCCAACTCACTCACTCTATATGAACACAACCGATAACTTTCATGGCGATTCCTAAACGTTTTCTGAACTATGTAGCTCGAGTGTGCCGAAAAGTGCCCTTGTCTCTCATTCTATTCCTCGTTCTTAAAATGATGCCACCCATGGTAACAAACGATAGATACATCATGACACGTGTTCGTTCTCGTGTTCACAGACACTGGATGGTAACGAGGCCGAATGGCGACTTCCTGTCTCAAAGGCAGGCCCCGAAGATGTCGTTGCTGAAAGTCAGTATCCATGGAGACCAGGTGTTTATTGACGGACCAGGAGTGCCAACACTGAAAGTACCCATCAATCCCCCGGTTGTCCCGTCCCAAGTGAAGACATGTCGGTATGTAGGAATATATTTTGGGGGTATTACAGTTAGGAGGGAGTAAGAGTCTTGACTTCAGTTTGGGGTTCAGTGTGTCGCATTTGAATTGTTAACTTCACACACATGTATACACACACACACATACCCGACCCCCGCTCTTCCTGCTTGCAGTGTGTGGGAGTGTAGGACGGAGGGGCTGGACTGTGGGCAGGAGGCCGCAGACTGGGTCAGCTCATTCCTGGGACTGGAGGGACTCCGGCTACTGTTCTCGGCCCCGGGGATGCACAAGAGGGACGCCAGCGACGAGTTCAAGCCATGGGGTAATCCTGCCCTTCTCGGCGACCAGGTAATATTGAGCCTCACATTGTGCCCAGTCGATTGCTGTGCAGTTGCCTCCCTTTGGCGTGTCAGGATCCGATGATTTTAGTATCGACTTCCAGATTGGCACTGCTCCTTCGTTTGTTTTCACTCTTTGGTTTAAAAACACACTTAAATGACCTGCGTCACTTTCCCTTCCCAATTAGGCTGACACACGGTGATGTTACTGAAATAGCGTTCACTCACTCATTCACAGACTGACATATGTAATGGCCATGATAACCGTAGTTGCAATATTATAAGTTGTTGGCTTATCACGACTTGGGTGCTATTTGACTCTGTGTGTACGCATGGTTATCCTTTATTACAATTTGAAAATTGATTGAAGATTGAGATGCTAGGCGTGTGTTTGTTGCCATATTGCCAGGTGAGCTGGAAGGAGCATAATTTTACAGAGATCGGAAAATGTATGTTTCCTTGACGGCGGGGAATATGTTTTCCAGTACTACACGCCATAGCGGGGTTCATGGGAATTCAACAGGACGTCATTGGCCAATATAACTAAAGCAGTTTACATGTAAGGGAAGATAAAGAGGTATAACTACATATGTGGAAGGTATTTGCTGAGATGATTAACTTTCAACAATGTGGTAAACATCTAAGACTTGCGATACTTTCCTCCTAAATTACGCTGACTCACCGTGAAAAAACTGAAATACTGTTCAAAGCGTACCAACTCACGGTATTTACATGCAGTGACCACTGCGCTGGGGTTAAAGAGTTGTCTCGTTATGTTAACAAAACACCGGCATTCGATCACACAGGTACAATTGATGAAGCCAGTCCTCTTTATCCCACCTTAAAACACTAGCTTCTGATTGGTTGAGGAGGGGGCAATTATTGCACGTGCAGCCCGTTCATGTGTCCCGCTTGGCCTTTATCAGGTAACATGCATATCTCGAATAAGTATCGTTCAGTTGTAATGAACCGATGTTTATTCGAATGCATTGGGTAAAGGGAAGTAACTCATGCATTCGTGACCCTGTATTAAAGGAATGACGGTAAGATAAGCTCGTTGTTAACCGATCCCTCGGGGCATATGGAGTGATGTACCCTGTGTGTGAGCCCATATACCTCGACGGCTCGGGTACATAGTCTCACACACAGGGTACATCACACCGACCTCTGAAGATCCGGGGTAGAATAAGTCTTCAGCAGCCCATGCTTGCCGTAAAAGGCGACTATGCTTGTGGTAAGATGCGACTAACGGGTTGGGTTGTCAGGCTCGCTGACTTGCTTGATGCATGTCATCGTATTCCAATTGCGTGCGGATCGATGCTTATGATGTCAGTCGCTAGATTGTTTGGTTCAGACTCGCTTCTTCACAGACCGCCGTCATACAGCAGGGATATTTTTGAGTGCGGCTTAAGACAACAAACAAACAAACATCACACCGTATACCCCTCGAATGAGTGAGTGAGTGAGTTGGGTTTTACGCCGCTTTTAACAGTATTCCAGTTATATCACGGCGTGTCAGCTTAATGTGGGAGGAAAGCCCGAAGTGATGCAGGTCTCGGACATTTACCAATTAGGTGAAACCCACGAGCACGGGTATGGTGCTGACAAACTTAGAAACATAATCGGGGCGAACCGGGATTCGAACCCACAATCATAGGTTTCTGGCGTGCCCAAGGGACGCAACTCTGCACAGCGAATCGCGGCGCCTTATACGACTGGGCCACCCGTGCCCCCTATACCCCTCGAGATCGGTTGACAACTTATAGTGTCTAGACCGCGATGATATTCCCGGAAGAGTGTTATAAACGGCGTAAAAACTCATTTTTGTTACAGGCGGCCTACAGTGACTTTGGGGCCTATATGCTTCTGTCGGATGAGTCTCTCGGCTTCCTAAATACCAAGCTCAGCAAGCCAGTGTCCATGCGGAATTTCAGACCCAACATCGTCGTCAGCGCCAAAGAAGCATTCGATGAGGTATGAACATGATCACCAGAAAATGAGGTTCAAACCCGTCACAGATCACGGTTCCCATACTGACCGAGTACTAAAATGATCGATGATGATGACTAAATGATCGATGACTAAAATGGCTACTGAGTATGGTCAAAATGGGCAACCCCTGAGCGACCACCTTTGGGCTCTGACAGTGTAGGATAAATATTTGTACCGATATTGCACGGCGTCCTTACTCGAGCGATGGCTTGTTTGTACATGGTTGGAGAAATATAGCAGGCACACTATTGCCCGCGACGTTTATAACCTTTCCCTAAATGCTGATGTGACGTTAAGACTAATGTTGTAGTTGGTTTTGGATGGACGACGTCGGTAGAAACGTGGCGTGGCCATAGTTTCAGCACATGTGTAGTTTAGGCCCAACCAGTTTAAGAAACGCATCCTGGGAAAACACATAGTTCCCGATGTCACTGGAATATGTAGCTCTTGGGTCTACATTCTAGGCCCAGATTGCTAGTAATGTCAATGCCTAGGTGGTGTCAGTGAGTGAGTGTGTTTGGTTTTACGCCGCTTTTAGCAATATTCGAGCAATATCACGGCGGGGAACACCAGAAATGGGCTTTACACATTGTACCCATGTCGGGAATCGAACCCAGCCCTTCGGCGTGACGAGCGAACGCTTTAACCAGTAGGCTACCCGACCGCTCCAAGGATGCCTAGTGAGATATGGGAGAGGGCTCACGAATGGCCAAATTGTCCAAGGTGCCGCAATTCAATATGCAGAATTGCGTCCTTTAGGCACACCTCACAGTGTGGGTTCGAAATCCAGTTCACCCCGATTATGTTTCAAGGTTTGTCAGCACCATACCCGTGCAGGTGGGTGCCCCCCCCCCCCCCCCCCCCCCCCCCCCCCCCACACACACACACTGATACATATTCTGATACATTGTTCAAGGCGGCATTAAGCTTAGCTCACTCACTCATTCTTTTGGCGTGTAGTTTATAACACGTAAAAGCTATAAGACGCAAACTGTATCGCCATGATAAATTGTGGCATGTTTACGTGAAATACCAATCGCCGTTTAGTTCTAACATTGAAGCCCGCCCACCCATAGTCAAGTTACGGAGTAAAATTAAAATATCCAAGGAAGCGGTCATAGAAATACAAACACCTCACCGACAAGGCTCACATTTCATAATGCACGGGATGTGTGGTTGACAATACAATGTCGAGACTGACACGCATACTTTTTGAGATGTTCTCCGTTCTCCTAACAATGTACATTCTGATGTCACCCGTTAAGATCCGTGTAGAAAAGGTCTTCAGTAACCTTGCTTGTCGTAAAAGGCGACTATGCTTGTGGTAAGAGGCGACTAACGCCATCGGGTGGTCAGGCTGACTGACTTGGTTGATGCATGTCGTTCTATCCCAATGGCGTAGATCGATGCCCATGATGTCAATCATTGGATTGTCTGGTCCAGACTCGATTATTTACAGACCGCCGTCATATAGCTAGTGCGGCGTTAAACAACAAACAAACAAACAAACATTCCGATGTGACTTTCTGTTCAGGACAGCTGGCACGAGATCAAGATAGGGGACACAGCCTTCATGAGAGTGCTGGACCCGTGTACGAGGTAAGTGGGATCTCCACATGGATCCGTTGTTAGCTCACCTGAACTGGATGTTAATGTTGGTCATAACGTTTCCGATCCGTTTCGAAGCGGCCGCGACAACCATATAAAATATATAATTATTTTGACCCACTGCTCAGATATTACTTTTTGAATTTTGACATCCTGCAGGTTTTCGTTTCATCTTTGATCTTTGTTCTGTAGGTGTACCATGACAACAGTTAACGGAGAAGTGGGAGAGAAATCCAAAGACGGCGAACCCTTAGCGACTCTTAAACGGTAAGAGTGAATGGATGTTGATTTATGCCGCTCTGATCTGTACCCGAGCTTTTTCGCGGCGGTCTATAAATCATAGTCTGCGTTTTACAAACCAATGGTTGATATTATGAGCAACACTCGACGCTAGCTGGGGAAGATGACATGCAATTTGCCCAGTCGGACGTTGCAACCACCCAATCCTACGTTAAAATCCTAATAAACAATTACGACAAGCATCGGTAACTTGGACCTTGGCAAATATTTGTACAAGTATCACTTGTCCCCAACTTGTATTTTCATGATTCAAATAAAACTGTTTTATATAAAAAAAAATCCGGGGGTGGGGGCAATCCCCCCCCCCCCCCCCCCCCTGCCCCCCGGCTGGCTACGGCACTGGTTGTGTATGTGTATGTTAATAATACCCTGCTTGTTTCAGTGTTCGATGTTTCCCGGCATACGGCGAGACTCCTATTTTCGGTGTTAACTGTGCCGTGGATGTGGAGGGACAAATCAACGTGGGCGACCAAGTATATGCTTTGAGAAAATAAAGATTGGGCCTAATTCCTGGTTAGGGACATGTTATTTTGGCCCAGCGTTGTAAGCAAACGTAGGCTTAACATTTACGCTGTTTCTTGCTAAATACTAAGTCACAACCCATGTTTCTTGCTAAATACTAAGCAACAACCCATGTTTGCAGGAAAAGACGACTATGCTTGTCGTAAGAGGCGACTAACGGGACGGGGTGGTCAGACTCGTTGATGCATGTCATCGTATCCCAATTGCGTAGGTCGATCCTCATGATGTGATCCACTTGATTGTCTGGCCCAGAGTCGATTATTTACAGACCGCCGTCATATAGCTAGAATATTGCTGAGTGCGGCGTAAAACAACAAACAAACCAAGACCATAATGGTCCGTATCACTGCATGCTCTTTGCACTACATTATTAAACCAGTCAACGAATCAGTGTGCGTTCTCGGACTCTGTAGAGTATACATGCTCATGATGTGATCCACTTGATTGTCTGGTCCAGACTCGATTATTTACAGACCGCCGTCATATAGCCAGAATATTGCTGAGTGCGGCGTAAAACAACAAACAAACCAAGACCATAATGGTCCGTATCAATGCATGCTCTTAGCACTACATTATTAAACCAGTCAACGAATCAGTGTGCGTTCTCAGACTTTGTAGAGTATACATGGTCATGATGTCAATCATTCGATTGTCTAGTCCAGATTTGATTGTTTACAGACCACCGTCATATAGCTGGAATATTGTTGAGTGCGGCGTTAAACAACAAACAATCAAACAAACAAACAAACAAAACAAAACTGCCTGCCAAGCGCTTTAGGTTTTGCATTTACATTACCATTCCATCCATTCCTGTTGTTTGCCCTCCTTTATTTATCGACTTAACTTCATGTGTTAGACATAAGAGTGTCTTCCGTCCGTAATGTAATAACAACGAAAAAACTGTCAATGTACATATTGCATGCTATGAAGCTAAGAAGTTCCAGATGTGTTACCTCATAAATGTATATACACCAATTACTTTATAACATGTACTATAGGCCTGTGGCCTCTCAGTATTATGAATAAACACATATTGATAACATTCAATATATCCTCATGAAGAGCAGTCAAGTGGTTCCTTTTGGTGATTAAACTTTTGAAATTTATTTCATAGAAAAAGAGATGAAGTTATACTTTTATATTCCACGCGCCCATATTTATACCTTTATGACCTGCCATTCCATTTCAAAGTCAGGGTTAGTGTCAAAATAAACTCGCCATCAAATTAGGAGATCAACCAAATGTGCTTTGAAATTGGAGGTAGTCTCACTGTTATTAGATACCTCTAATTTCCAATTCACCAAGTGCGTCAGCATTTCGTGCTCGGAAAGGAGGAGCCTAGCAGTAGATCTTGGACCCCAAAACACTGTTTTCAAGAACAAAACTAGGACAAATTAATGATCCCTGCATTCTCGGGAACAAATAGTTCATTACATTTGCTATCAGACATTCGGAATCGTTGATACACGTGTGAAAATTTGTATCAACTCGCTTATTTTGAATCCTAAGGACAACAAGAGTAATTATTGTATGTAAGTGAGTGAGTATGGTTTTATGACCTTATATCAATATTGTATCAACATCACTGAGGGGGGACACCAGAAATGAGCTTCACACATTGTAACCATTGTGGGGATCGAACCCGGGCCTTCGGCGTAACGAGCTATCGCTTTATCCACTTGGCTAACCCACCGTCCACTATGCACGTGAAAGTATCAACAACTTTATGTATTAGCAACATTAAAACTTTATTCCTTGAACAGTTACATGCTCATTCGTTACACTCTAACATGTGTCAATACTTCACGGCTCTTACACTACACGTTCCTCCACCCCCCGTGAATACAGTCGGCCAGTGTGCGGTGCAGTCGCTCTATTTACCATCATCCACAAAACACGTGTTTCAGTATCAGGTGACGGTTGTGATCGCAGGAATTCCATGCACAGAGTGAGCATACTTGGATTCCCTTAGACACACATTGACACATGTCAGTACCTGACATAAAGTTGACATGCGTCACTATTTCCCCGCATAGCAGGGGACACAGGTGGCCAAGTCGTCTAAGACGCCGCGATTCGCTGTGTTGTGTCCCCTGGCACGCCAGAAACCTATGATTGTGGTTTCGAATCCCGGTTCGCCCCGATTATGTTTCTAGGTTTGTCAGCACCATACCCGTGCTCGTGGGTTTCACCGAAGTGGTAAACGTCTGAGACCTGCATCACTTCGGGCTTTCCTCCCGCCGCGATGTAACTGAACTACTGTTAAAAGCGGCGTTTAACCCAACTCACTCACTCACTCCCCGCATAGCGGCCGTATTCACGGTTGATGAAGTATTGACGATGATGTTTGATCGGTATCTCTAGCAGTCAAACATCCTTTCTGGCACAACATGGACACGGGGAGATGAACATTTGCTGGATCACAACAAACACGATTCACTACCAACTCAAAGCACCCACTCTTCCTCTTACAGAACAAAAATTAATGCATTACTAATCGGTAATTTTGTGTTACTGAGCACTTTCGTCTTGTCAACAAAATGAACTGTTTTCGTGGAGGCGATCTCGAAATTGCCAAGGGAACATGAAAGACGTCATTTTACAAAGGCGATTTCTATGATCGTTTCACTTGAAAGGGGATGACTATTTATTGTACAACTTATTGTTAATCTAATCACAATTTATTTTATACCAACAGCAAATTTTTCAGAACAAACATTATTTATAACGATTAATATCTTTGTACAAAAAATGACAACAATTGATATTTACCCCAGCATTTACGGGAAAACAATCTTCTTTATATCCTAGGACCCCGAATCTCCCACCCAACCCCCAAAATGTCGACCCTTAAATTCAGGTGATGTACGTCACTGTAGGCTGTTAGTTGTAGGCTGCTGCATGTGAAATCGCCGTATGACGTCCTCTTGCACACAGACACCACACATAAGCTCACAACTGTGCATAATCACAATAAGGCAAAGGTTGAAAGACTTCAAGCATGTGTGTGCATTTCCTCCAGCTCTAGCGGCCAAGCCGTAGCTGTGTCCTGCCTCGCATTTATTATCCGACATATGTTCTGGTCGCTAATAAAGGGATACGGTTCACGCGTGAGAATGCAAGTTACAGGATATCGTGGACACAAGCTCCGTGAGAGTGCAAGTTACTGAAAATCGTGGACATTTGTAGACACAGCGGCCGAGGCAGTGAATGCTCTCCCTTCGTGTTCACAGTCATTACCTTTAACCAATTACATTTTCAGTCGGAAGATCTGGTGTTCTTGAAGAAATGGTTGGATAACTAGGGGACACAAAGTGTCAACGACAATCTGTAAGTGTCTTTTTTGCAGACCATTATGATGACACGCTCAGCATCTCAGAAAAAAAGATGCCATAACCCTTCCAGCTGATGGGACAGTCGTCGCTTTCTTTGGTGGTGGTGATGTCAAGTGCTTCAAATGTTTTGATTGCTGTTTGGACTCAGACTGGAAGTGGTGAGCCCAGGTATCATCAATAGTCACAAATTGCTGCAAGAACCTTTCTGGTTCAGCTTCAAACAGAGCTACATTACCAAGAGACGTGTTATGCGTGGTGCGTTTGGATGAGATGGCGCCAGCCATTGAACAGAACGAGCTGTTACTTTCTTCATTGCTAAGGTTTCTATGGATGGGATGTACTCTCTATTGGGAATGGCTATCTTGCAATATTAGCCTCAGTCATTCGTCGTTCGGTCATCCCAATATCGTGGATTCACTGGATCATCTCTGGTGTTGTTGACGTCACAGGACGACAGGGGTCGTCTTCAAGGCTCTTTCTGCCACGCTGCTGCCCACCTCTTTACGGTGGCATAGGGAGGGACATCCATTCCTAGTGTTGTACTCATATCTTAATGGATGACTTTAAGTGTTTACCCCTAAACGTGCAAGTATTGAATCACTGCACGTTCCTCAAGTCTGTCCATTTTCCTAATATCGCAGATCCCTGCTTAGTTGTCACAGTGTAACAATTTGCACCATTGACACAAGTCTCTATGGCATCATATAATGTACATAACTAAAGGTTTCGCTATAACGCAAGTCCTTCCATGTGAGGTTCAGAGCTTCTCAATCAACCCTCGTATGTATTAATTTGCGACCAGTAGATGTCGAATAGTAAAAACCGGACAGTACAGTTACGATATCGCAGCTAGTCGGAACTCGCAACCTCAATTTCTTACAGTGGACAACGCAAGGCACATTTGACCAGCATAATAGGTGGCCATTATTACCACTTCAGCCAAAGGAACACGAAACTTCCATTTGTCCAGCCCTATCAAACAGTCGGAAAACATAAAGAGCGCAGCACCGCAGGCTCCGTAACAAGCCGAGTTTGTCCGATCATACATGAAGTGTTCCACAGCCAACCACCCAACCCCAAAAATTAGACCTTGATACACCAGCACTAAAACTTTCATGACAATGGAGCTGATACCACTTGAGATGAAGAGGTACAGACACATACTTAGCAACGTGAAGAACACACCGCATCTGGTTCTCTTGAAGTTAAAGTCAGTAGCTAGTCCAAGCATGTAACACACATGCGCGACGGCGAAGAAAAGCATGCCGGGAATGAACAGCGTTTCGCGCCATATTAGGCACATGTCCCCGAGGCTGGAGAAGAACAGGCCCACAAAGAAGTGCCTGGCATATATCGTCTGATGAGAATCTTTGGTTGTGTGGATGAAAAATGCTAACGACCATATGGGGATGGCCTTGACTATGGCCGCGTCCATCGTCTCCGGTGGGTACTGCAGGTAGGGTCGGTATAGGGCGAAATACGCCCCGACGCTTAGATAGAATGGAATGAGCCGGATGTCCATCAGACTAGTCGCCATTCTTGCCCTGGAGAAGATAATTGTTGAATATAAAAGCCACTCTGGTATTTGTTGTCAATTGATATGAATTGTGAAACTGAAGGGGTAAACTCCGCTTTTTTTTGGTCTTTTTTTTGACATAGCAGATTTTTCTTTTAAATGACAGAAAGGGGAGCTTTGTAATTACACATTAGAGCTAAGACAGCTTTGCGCAAGTAGTTCGATGTTGGCGGGTGGTGGTCGTCGACATATATGAACTGTCCGGCAAAAGAAGAATCCTCATTCGTTTTGACCAAATATTTACATACTTCATGAAAAAGATACTTGTGAAAACAGTCGCAGAAACACTTCACACTTGATAACCTTTTCTTGTTGGTTGTATTTTTAGCTACCATCACTCATGGGTGTATACAGTAAACTACGTTTATAACGAACACGCTTCTAACGAACTGACGGATATAACGAAATGTGTTTTGATCCTGTCCATTTGCTGTATATTTGCTGTATACATGATGTATATATGCTTCTAACGAACTACGGTTATAACGAAGTAAAATTAGTGTTCCTTTTGAGTTCGTTATTACCGTAGTTTACTGTACTTTCTTTTGGCAGTTTATCATATAACTGACCTACTGTTCACAGCAGCATCCAATCCCATTTCCTACACCCTCCGTATTCCCGTGAAGATCCGGGGTAGAATAGGTCTTCAGCAACCCATGCTTGCCGTAAAAAGGCGACTATGCATGTCGTAAAAGGCGACTAACGGGATCGGGTGGTCAGGCTCGCTGACTTGGTTTATACATGTCATCGGTCCCAATTGCGTGGATCGATGCTCATGATATTAATCACTGGATTGTCTGGTCCAGACTCGATTATTTTACAGACCCCCGTCATATAGCTGGAATATTGCTGAGTGCTGGGTTAAACAACATACCAACCAACCAACCGTATCCCCGCCATACCGAATTCCATGATTAAAACAAACAACTAATATCCTGTCGCAAAATCAGCCCTAATTTAGATGAGGACAAAATAATAAAAAGCATTACTTTTTTTAACCTTAGATGATTTAACACTGGGAGTAAGTCGGGATTTTGTAAATTAGAATTTGTTGGTCCGGTTAAACCTTGATCCAAATAACAACTGTGTTTCCTATTGACACGTGTAAATAAAAGTGCGAAATGTCTAAACGGTTGTAAGTTTCGTCAACATTATTTCATTAGGCTTGGAGGAAAATCCACAAAGGGCAGAGAGGGAGAGGGGACAATTGTAAACATCCTATGCATGTGATTAAAAAACATTTAAAATAAAAAGAACACTTCTAGTTACTCATTTGGACATGTTCGTGCAATCAAGAAATAAAAAAACCCTTATTTTTTTCATCAACCAACAACTTCATTACTCTGGAATCGATTCAGAGAAACAAGGCTGGCGTGTTCTCCGAGAATTAATCAAATATGCCCTGACATTAGATACATGTCAAATAGGTCAAGCAGAACTAACGTCCGATATGTTTAGTTTTATTCCTAGTGCCCTGTTTAATAAACATATGACATAATGTCTAACTGCAACAATAAAGGTGGACACTCAGTGCGTTATAGCCGTCCGGTTGATAAAGCGCTGTTACATCTGACCTTGGTTCCGGGTATAAATCCAGTAGTGGCTACACTTTGCACACTCGTTCTTGGAGTGTAAACGATTTGATATGATATCGCTACTTGCCTTTGAAAACTCATTAATGACAGTTTCAACATGCATATTAATCAGTATCGAGATACCATTTGAAGTTCGACTTATTTTTAAACCTGTAAAATTTATTGACCATTTCCACCAACCTTGAAACGATCTGCGAACCAGCTCCCATGGCAATAAGCTTGTAAGAGTTGTCTCCCTTGTATGATATTTTCCTCTGATTTCTGGCCAATCACACAGGTCGAAGGTTAAATGTCTGCTGACCTCGGAATTAAAAACAATAACACTATCAATCATTACATGTTAACTCCAAGGACACACACCAATTAGTATTATGTAATATCGCATCAAGACGATTCTACACAAGGTAATGCCTACACTGATCAATACCTCCATCCACACGTGGTATTGATTAAACACTGCAACCATTACCACCATCGAAATAGCACTTTGTACATTTAACGATTGGAATAAAGCCTTCTCGTGCAGTACATACCCAATATACAGCCTGTAAGTGACAGCGTCATTGTCTTAATTGATCCTGGAGTTCAACAGAAAACCGGAGACGAGTGTTGTTTTATCAGCTCGGGGTTGCGCATGTCCCTTGTGATATTGGCGCTCATCAACATAATGATGGACAAGTCGCATGTACTTTTCAGTGTAGGCGGTGTGTGTAGCTGCTGATCTACAGTAATAGAGCGCGTTGATAGTTGGTGTGTGAGAACGGATTTCACATATACTGACACACATTTCACTTGATTATGAGACGGCTGAGTGATGTTTATCTTTCCAAGGTTATCTTGCCTTCCGTGTTACAGAGGCGGTTGGGTAGGCTAGTGGTTAAAGTGTTCGTTCGTCACGCCGAAGACCCGGGTTCGAATCCCCATATGCGTACAATGTGTGAAGCCCATTTCTGGTATTGCTGGAATATTGCTAAAAGCGGCGTAAAACATACTTACTCACACACCCCAGTCCATGTTAACACAGCGGTTTGCTGTGTTAAGATCGCTTTGTGGAATTTGACAGAGCAATCTCATTAAAATCAGATTTAAGTTCTCGCTGCCGCTAAACAAAGAACCGAGGACATCCCATTACGGGTCACGTCAGAACGACTTTTCGCGAACTTTGACCGACCACTGAAACGAATAACAAGAAGTCGATATCAGCCAATGAGAAAGCATCTTTCTCGAGCTTTACGGCACTCGTTTCAACCTGCCGACTTCCATTTCAGACTACGCTTGAAAAATATGTTGACACAGTTCTCGATTAAAATTTTGAAAACTGAACAAAAGAACAATCCGGAATGTCTAATATATGGTTACGATTGTATGGCAGTGCTTCCCACGTACTGTGCAACGCCTCCTCCGTTCAAATGTTTATCAGACGATAATTTTGACGGAATCAGTCGTACGGACCGTAACTGTCATTCGGAATACCCCGTGTCAACGTTTTCGAGGTTGCATGTTTAGAAAACACATTCCGACTGTCACTTTCATGATCTGGTAAGCGACGCTTTGATTGGTCGAATGAAAGGTCGTTCTGACGTTACCCGTAATGGGATGTCCTCAGATCTTTGTTTAGCGATAGCGAGAACTAAGATCTGATTTTAATGAGATTGTTGACAGAGAGACGGAGGAATGGGGTTAGCCTTGCTCGAAGGCTGTACTGAAAGAAAAGTCCATGGATGTGTAAGTCTAGATATGTGGACAGTAAGGACTCCAGTCTCTAAAAGGGACAACTTTTTCTTATTATTTACATAATCTAGAACTTATTTTTTAAACTAACTATGATTGCCTTACAGACTTGTGCAAGTCAAGAATAGGGTGTTTGACATGTTTGAAATAATAGTCTCACTGGTTAATATGTACAATGGATATCTCTCGTAGTCATCAGCAAAGTCTAACTGCGCTTAACTTAATGACTTCAAATGAATATGTTATTATGTCCCTTTATGCTTGTATGTAATATAAGCAGCTTCAGTTAGAATCTGTTGGTCTTCAGCAACCCATGCTTGCCGTAACAGGCGACTATGCTTGTCGTAACAGGCGACTAACGGGATCAGGTGGTCAGACTCGTTGACTTGGTTTGATGCATGTCATTGTATCCCAGTTGCGTTGATCGATGCTCATGATTTCAATCACTGGATTGTCCGGTCCAGACTCGATTATTTACAGACCGCCGCCACATAGCTGGAATATTGCTGAATGCGGCGTTGAACAACAAAGCAACCAACAAAGCACACAGACTATAACTGTGGTCTTTGCAACACGTAACACACGTTTAACTCCGACGGTCATTCAAATCTGTATAGGAGTAATCCCCCTTAGTGCAAACAATGAACGTACTAGATGTTGTCTGTTTGTTGTTTAACGCCACACTGCATTATTCAAGCTGTTTGACGGCGGTCTGTAAATAACTGAGCCTTGATCAGACAATCCAGTGATTAACACCATGAGCGTCGCTCTACGCAATTGGGATACGATGACATGCTTCCACTAATGTAGCGAGCCTGACGACTGTAATCTGATTACAAGTGTCTGCATTATGTTAGGTCTGCGTTTTGGGAGGACACTATCGCGCTATCTTGCATATTGTAACGGAGACATGTATCATTGTTGTGAGCTTATGTGACACACTTGTCATGTTTGAATGAAGAGATACAGATTATTAGTCGCCTGAAACTCCATTCTAAACACATTTATTTTAACAAATGGCTAATCATTGGTTAAACCAAAGTCCTGGACCCAAGGATGTGATTCCAATACCTAAGAATGATATAAATACCCGTGGAGGATGATTAGGGACCGGCCATTTGATATTCTGGGGCCTTGGATTCTGTATGGCGACCAGATATTTGTTTCAGCTAGAGCTGCAAAACCAGATATTTTGTTGATTGAAACTATGAACCTTTTTATTTAAAAAATAATAATCTTGCAACAATGTATTTTTTGTGACTGACAATTTCTATTTTTTTCAAAGTCTGAAACAGATATGTTTTCACTGCATTTTCAATGGCCCCAAACAACAACAACAAACGCGCAGGTACATTTTATTAGATTTATTGTACGTAATAAAGTCGATATATTTAATTTAAAATCATCGATACAAATATGAAATTTTGGAGCTTGATAGTCACATGTTGTCGTTGTGCAAAGGCATTGAAAACTGTTCATTGTCATGTCACATAAGGCCACAGGGTAGCGCTGAACTCAGTATCTCGTGTCCCCGGGCAGCAATCACGGCTCTGCATCTCCTCGGCACTGACTGGATAAGTGTACGATTTCTATCCTGCGGAATTCTGCGCCATTCTGCTTGTAACGCGTTGCCAGTTGTGGGAGTGTCTGCAGTGTGTTCTGACGACGTAGACGTCGATCGAGTTCATCCCAGAGGTGTTCGATTGGGTTGAGATCAGGAGATCTCGACGGCCGGGGGAAGACGTTGATGTTGGCATTATGAAGGTAGTCTACTGTGACACTGTCTACTGTTGAAACACTGTCGCTAAACCACTCTCGTCTCCAGTTTCTCAAATTCAAAGGCTGTAAGGTATGGCACCAACGAAAACGTCGCTGTCGATGGATCTGTTACAAATCAGGGACGAAAACTGGTCATCTGGGTCGGATTCCAGCCTTGCGAAGATGTCTGGTTCGATATCCTCCTCAAACCAGGGATGCGTCCTGCAGTCTCCGTAGCTGTGGCATTGCGATGGCGTAGGTGGAACACTCGAATGTAGCGATCCTGTGCAGGGGTGGTAACTCTTGGTCGGCCGGTTCTCGGACGGTCTGCAGTGGAAGTGAACTGTGTGTATAGGTCACAAAGGCGGCAAATGGTGTTGTGGTGGACGTAGAAGTGGCGTGCAACAGAAGACTGCGATTCCCGTCTTTGGATACGCCCAATGGCGATGTTCCGATCGGCAGCGCCGAGTCTTGGCATTATCGAACTTGAAAAATGTTGACAGTTGAATGACAAGTTATTGGCTTATGCTTGCCTTTTTATAGCCACTACCACGAGTTACGAATGTCATAACTTGTACGTGAATTTTGCTTTACTGTTTTCCTCCATGACATTTTTGTACAAGTGTGAAAACAATGCCAACCCACAATGGCTGCGTTTTGACACACCGTTTGTCGAATCTCAGGCGACCAACATTTTCCAATTACAGTAAACTACGGTTATAACGAACACGCTTATAACGAACTGACGGATATAACGAACTTACCTTTTGGTCCCGACTACTTGCTGTAGTCATGCTGAATATGTACTTATAACGAACTACGGTTATAACGAACTAAAATTAGTAGTCCCTTTGAGTTCGTTATTACCGTAGTTTACTGTATAACATATATCCAATTTATATACCGATATTTTTGTGTAGTCAGGTTCAATGAACTACACACTCCCAGTGCATTTCTTTTTTTAAAGAGTGTATGTTGAGCACTGCACGTTGCATATGTTGAATGAACTTTGCGCCACTCTTCAGCCGAGATAATGTTGCAACTTCGCAATCATCGAACATAACAGATAGAGAAAGTAGGCCTGAGAACGGAATTAAAAGACATATGGGACGTCACTACTGTTTTAACGATTCAATATTCTACAAGAATCGACAGGTTGTTGTAAATTATACAGACCAACATTATACTGAATCATGTTCCAAGTAATGTACACTTGGAAGTGACGGAAATATTTTTGTTTGGACACTCAAAGCATCTTCCCGAGGCAAGGGCGTTAACTGACTATACAAGTCTAGTTTCCACTAATAATCGACCACGGCTACGAATTTGTTAAATATTTTCAAATAGTTTGTCAGAACCTTAAATGCTTAGAAGATAATCTCAATAGTAGTGTTATAACGGTTTCTCGGGAAAAGGCGTTTAACGTGTTAAGATCTGTGTTTTCACAGTTAATCACCGTGAAGATCCGGTCTTGAATTGGTCTTCAGCAACCCGTGGTTGTTGTGAGAGGCATAAGAGCATGGTGCATGTCGATCGATGTTCATGATGTCAGTCACTGGATTGTCTTGTCAAGACTTGAGTATTTACAGTAACGCCGTCATATACTACTAGATATAATATTGTTGAGTGCGGCATTAAACAACAAAGAAACAAACAAGTGAGTACGAAGTTAAAATAAAACGCAGATAGATTAGCTACAGGCAAGTCGGATAAGAAAAAGGCTTCGTCTGATGTCATTTATCTCACGAAGAATCAAAAATGCTCTTATATGTACATTACGCCCGTGAGTGAACTGGCACATCTTAAGGTAATGATGTAGGAATTGCGTAGATCGATGCTCATGATGTCAGTCACTGGATTGCCTCGTCCAGACTTGATCATTTACAGAACGCCGTCATATAGATGGAATGTTGCTGTGTGCACACTGAATTCAGTACATGAATGAGGTAGCATATTTGAAATAAGAATTTCGGGGGTCGGGTAGCCCTGTCGTCTAAAGCGCCGCAATTCATTTTGCAGAGTTGCGTCCCTTAAAGGAGCCTGTATCCGTGGATCGTGGTTTCGAATCCTAGTTTGCCCTGATTATTATTCTTGGTTTGTCAGCACCATGTCCGTTCGTGGTTACATCAAAGGGGTAAGCATCTCTGCATCATTTCGGAATGTCCTCCCACATTAATACCGAAACAATACCACTTAATTGGTGTTTTCAGTTTTGAAATTTCGTAGCTCCCTGAAGGTTTCAATTTAGAATATATCACCAGCAACGAAGGTGTGGACCGTTGTTCACAATATCAATCACTAGATTGTCTATGCCAGATTCGATTGTTTACAGGCCACTGTCATACAGCTGGAATGACAGCGAGAGCGGCCTTAAACAACAAACAAACAATTTGAGCTTTCGTATATAATCCTGCAATAGTAAGGACAGTCAAACGATCTAGGGGGCAGCTGAAGTGTATAAATCTTATAAACTCTGACAACAATGTTGACGTTTTATGCACGTTATTATCGAGATGTTTTAATTACGAATACTTTGTTCACCCATGATATATGGATATCCAACTGCATATTTGACATTCAACAACGTAATTATGGTATCATTTACAAACAATTTTGTGTAATTAATGAATGTACAATCATATCAACCCACACTGAAAATGTCGCGGTACCACATTATATCATTATATACATATGTGCAGGAAAACTCGCTCGGTCCTGTTCTTCCACATTCCTTCATAGCTCCATATACAGAACAAGGGATCTATACTTTGGACCCACAATAATAAATATACAGAAATATATGATATATTTTGATTTTTTCGAGCTGAAGCTTAACACGTCGATTAAAGAGCATATTTACATGTTACACTGGGTGTTTTTTCCGACGAACCAAGTCGTGCTTATTATATTATTAATGAGTGAATTGGGTTTAATGCCGCTTTAAACTGTGGGTTTTACAGTATTCCAGTTGTATCACTCCGTGGCAGATTAATGGAGGAAAGTCCGAAGTGATGCCGGTCTTAGACGCTTAAATAACCATTTGGTGAAACGGGTATAATGCGGGCAAACCAAGGATCATAACCAGGGGGATTCGAAACCAAGCTCAGCGGATCCTATCACATGTAAGGGATACAACTCTGTACAGCATTGCGGCACACCACACGGTGCCACATTTTAAGGGTGTGTGGTGGCTTAGTTTTTTACACCGTTTATCGAGTGCACCAAGGACATATTGACTAAAATTGTAAACCAAAGCTCATATTAAATTTTCTTCTCTGGAATTATTTTTTTTTACAGAAAATAGGATGTTCTGAAACCGAATAAGGAAATAAATTGTGCCTCTAAACATGACCTTTGAGCTGAGTCCGTGTCAAGCTTAATATTGGATATAAATGAGCCGACATTTCACTGCCTCAGTACAGGTCAACATACCAATTATAGTGATCTTCCGTTACTCAAGACGTCCAGAGGCCACTAATCGTACATGTTAAGGTAGATATTCATCTGCAAACACCGGGTCATTGACGGGTCGCTGTGACGAGTTTACGCGCTAAAAATAGATCCAGGCCAGTTGTAGTTGTGAGCGAGACGGGCGTCGCATTACTGGAAACATGTTCTCCCAAAAGTGAGTGTTGTTTATATTGTTTAAACTATTTTACTTAATATTTTGATTACTAGTCATACATAATGGTTTTTGTTCACGGCAGGAAGGTTAATAACGAAAACGATTAGAAAACAAGGGTTGACAGATGTGTGATGCGATATGACAGCTGTTCGTTCCTACTGCCATAGTGTGTACATAGAGTTAACACGTGGCTGTTTCCTAGTCAGCTGGCGTGCTTATTTCGTAGTATAGTTTCTGTCGGCTACTTTCACACATATCGATTTTCATTGTAACCTATAGCTGCATGTGTGACCTACATTCATCACGTATTTTCACCCAGTGTTAAACAAAGGAACTCATCCGTCAAACTGATTGACACGACCATTAAAACACCACTTACAAAAAGAAGGGAGAAATATAAATACTCATACATACATTTGTTTTAACAGGCGTACGGTATTTTGAACACTAACAGTCCCACTGTAGGATACGGAGAAGAAAAATACCCGTGTCCCATATGCTTTATAGGCAAAGGCGGGTGAATGCACTCAGTAATACTTCATCTAAAGAAAGGCGGCCTGGAAATGGTCGAGTCGGGACCAGACAAACCAGTGATCGAAGTCACGAGCAATGATTCACACCATAGGTCACGATGACATAAAATCAAACACAGTCTGACCACCGATCCCCAGTTTAGTTTAGTCTAGTTTAGTTCAGTTTAACTTAAATTGTAACCAAACATGTTGCAGTGAATGTATTTCTTAACTTATGCGGCTTGTCAAAAACAGTCCAAACACAAGCAACAATTTCAACATGTCTGAAACAAAGATATCAGAAAGATATCCATTCCTCTTTCAAGATATAACACATTTTAGTGTAGAACAGGTTTAATCATGTTGATCAAACCCTGATATCATCAACAACTAATGCAGCAAGCAAACACAACAGTATCGAACCAACTAATGTGGGACCTTTTCAAACTGGAAGCAAGCTAGCTGTTTATTTAATTGTTGTAACGATTTCAGTGTGTAAGCACTTACATTTTTTGCTACGTAATAGATGCTAAACTGACGTGGTATTGCGAACCTACCCTTAACCAGAATATCGACAGGGGACAACGTCGTGAACGTGGACTGGGTGGTACTGAATGTGAACAGTACTAGTAATGAAAACACCAACTGCAGCTGGCTGCACTGGTGTGTCATCGTACCCAATATTGGATAAATGTTCACGTTGTTGTTCACTGATTTGTGTACTCCAAAACTGATGATATTCATAGCAGGGTATGAAACTCCCAAAAATTTCAGCCAGACCACAGGACTGGCTAGCTGAAATACTTGCCAGCCCTGACCAAAACCTGCCTGCCCACTATAATCATATGTTTCTCAGGATAAGCTAACGGGGTTTTTTTTGGTTACATTTTATCATTCATCTTTATATTTGAATTAATGCTTATCATCGGGAATATTTAGAATATTTTCACATATGAAATAAAACCCGACCGTCGGGCTGGGGGGCACGGGTGGCCCAGTCGTCTAAGGCGCCGCGATTCGCTGTGCAGAGTTGCGTCCCTTGGTAAACGAAGTGGTAAACGTCTGAGACCTGCATCACTTCAGGCTTTCCTCCCACATTAAGCTGACACGCCGTGATATAACTGGAATACTGTTAAAAGCGGCGTTAAACCCAACTCACTCACTCACTCACTCACTCACTATATAAAATGGTTTAAAGCATCTATCATACGGCCTAGCCAGTTCATGTCAACAGCGTAGCTACCATCTTGAGTGTTGATTTTGCGGTATGCAAATATGAATTAGCTCGTGGATATTTATTAAAGACGCCCCTTTGACTATTGGACAAATGCATTTTGGGTTTGATAAATTAAGGGAATTTGCTCAGAGCGGCGACAAAGCACAGGCCGATGGGGTAATCGTTGCCCAGGGATTGCTCATGTTCCGTCATTGCAATTTCTGGAATCTAAATCGAGCGTACACAGAGAACATGCATTACGTCACTGGGAGCCAGGCGGTCACGTTGGCAACTTCAGCACCTCTGCCACCAATAAGAGACTCGTACAAACCAAACAGGCGGGTCCTGACTCATCCATCGCATGCACACCATTTTATGAGACAAGGGCCTGATTGATGTGTCGTTATGGTGTCTTAAGAGGTGACGCGGTCATATATATGTACATGTGTTATAAGTTCAGGAACTAATGGTCTTCATATGACCTCTAGATATTACTTCACCTATATCTTGACAGCATATTGAGATTTACTGACGTCGAATCCAGGATATTTGTCTTTTCTTGTCAAATTACATGTTTATCTCATTGGGTGAACCTGATATGAGTGGCGCACTCGCGAGTGAAAATGTCACTTACAGGTCACATAATACCTGACTGAATATAACGATACTGATATTACAATATTACGATACTGATATTACGATATTACGATGTTACGATATTGATATATTTGAGTGAGTGAGTGAGTTGGGTTAACTTTGCTTTGAACAGCATTCCAGTAATATCAGCGCGTGTCAGTTTGATGTTGGAAAAAAATAGAACATAATCTGGGCATACCGGGATTCGGACCTTCGATCATATTTTGTTTTTTGGCGTGCCCAAGGGACGCAACTCTGCACTGCGAATTGCGGCCCGTCAGACGACTGAGCCAAACATACCCCCACATTAGTTTAAAAATTATCCTGGAAAGATGTTCAGGGATGTTCAGATGAGATTGTTTACTTAGTTACAGCATGAATACCTACCCTTATACATTTTCGCTATCGAACTCGTACACTATGCACACAACTGTGTTTCCGACCTCAGGGATTTTTTAGAAGGAAAACACGAAGATGGATTGTTTAGGTCGTAACCATAGTCACCACCACATTGCTCTCCTACATCATTAACTTGAGGTGTGCCCGTTCACTCACGGGCGTAATTGATTCTCGTGAGATAAATAACATCAGACGAAGCCTTCTTCATATCCGAACTTGCTTGTAGCTAACCTGTCCGCGTTTTTTTTTTATTCTACACTCTTTGTTTGTTTGTTGTTTGTGTTTTACGCCGAAAACAGCAATATTCCGGCTATATGACGACGGCCTGTAAACACACCATGCAATCAAGTGATTGACCAGAACATACAGTTATGTTTGTTTGTTTGTTGTTTAACGTCTTTAATAATCGAGTCTGGATCAGACAATCCAGTGACTGACATCATGAGCATCGACCCACGCAACTGGAATACGATGACATGCATCAACCAAGTCAGCTGGCTGCATGTACATGTAACAGCGCTGTAACACAGCGTCAGAACCACTCACTTTGTATTGAAACAGTCTGTTTTAAGGACCATGTATACCTAGAATTGTGGCGAGGAATTAACTCCGGGATCTCCACGCCTTCAGGTTCTCAGGCAAACAGCAGGAATCACTCAACTCGCCATTCTCGTATCTATACCTTAGCCCCTCTGTCCACGGTTGAAAGCAAGTCAATACCCGTCTGTCCAGTTTGGAATCTTTACAAATGCCTTACCACATGTTGGTCATATTATACAAGTTTTGATGTGCTGGTTTGCTTTGTTAGTTGTTCTAGGCTGGTCAGTCGTGTCTAGAACTGGTCAGCCGTGTCTAGAATGTCAATAGCCTTATCTGATAAGTGCCTACCAGCTCGTTTGACCGGTTGTTACAGCTTGTATCTTGCAGCGTTACGTATTATTATACAAGTTCGAAAACTATGTAGCATTTACTGACTCGGCAATGTTAAATATAAAGTATATTTGATATTTGAATTTGATCAAAACTTGAAGAGAAATATTAGTAATTTTGCCACTGTTATAGTACCAGTATTTATGAGTGTGTCCTTTTGTCTTTACAGGGAAGTGTTTGCGCGGGCCTCCGACCTTCTGCTTGTTCCCTTCTATCTGTCAGCATCCCTCTTCTTCGTCGTCTTCCAACCATTTGTTGACCTGCCTGAGGAATCCGTCGTGGCCGCCTTCTTCAAAGCACTTCCGGTTCTGTGTCTAGCCGGCTTCGTGTACAAGAAACACCTGCACCCAAACGGAACCGACGACCACTACATCCCTTCAGTGCTCATTGGTCTGCTGGTGTCGAGTTTAGGCGACGTGTTCATGCTGTTTCGTTCGTCACTTCTTCCTCTTGGCGTGTTCGTCTTCTCCATAGCGCATTTCATGTACATTGTTGGCCTGAGCGGGAAGCAAGACTCGGACAACCGGAAGTCCGTGTACCTCTTTGTGAACCTCCTCGTTGTAATGTTTCTTGGCTACCACGAATCAATTGACTCTACTTTTACGAAGTTATCCCTTGTTGGATATTTTGCTCTGCTTATGACCGTTGGAGCAATGACGTCATGTCGCTACGAGAAGGAGAGATCTGTTTCTGCTTTGTGGGGAATAGTAGGCGCTGCCTTGTTCATCTTATCAGATACTCTCATTGTTATCGATACATATTCCCTTGGTGGGGGATCCCTTGAGTGTCTCGTGATGATCCTCTACTATGGCGCTCAGTTTAGCTTTGCCATCAGCACTGTCACCGAAATCTCACCCGAAGACAAGGATGCGAAAGATAAATAATTTATGGTTATACAACTTGTTTACCCGATAGGATTCGCTAGATCTGAGAGATGATAATTCTTCAGTTTGTTGGAAATATCAAGATTAAAGAATAAAGCTCGATTGTGAACTCTTGACTGTGTATTAATTTCACGCGCGAAAAGTCAACATAATGTAAATTTAATTTTTTAAATGTGTTTGATAATATTTATTCAAGTTTTGATTGAGGAGACGGAAGCATCGGGAACACTTTTTTGTGTTGTCAGATTTCAAACGTCAATCTTACCGAATCAGCATGAATATGTGCATTTGAGCGAGTTAATGGTGTGTAGCACTGCGGTCCGCAATATTGAAGGTAAGTCACGGCGGCCTGTAAATAATGAAATCTCTGGACCGGACAGATTAATGCCTGAACGGTTCATCAAATCAGAGGACAGTTTTGGTCGTGTTATGAGGAACAAAGGTTCTTCCGGCCAAACCGAGTAGATCCATGTGTTATTTTTTCCTGTAAAATCGGCTTTAATTTCCAGATTAATGAATCGTCAGCACAAAGTTATAACGAGATAAACGCGTTGGACATGGGTTTAACCTCAGATCAATTGTTTGATAAGCATTACTCAGAAGTTGATAGATGACAAAGCAGACACAATTTATGTAATCTTAAGTCGAAAGGTTTTAACCTTAGACGTTTGGTAACATTGATGTCCACTTTCACGAAACAATCTCAACTGAGGTTGTTAACCTTAAGTTACGATCAAAACCTTACGCTGATCTGCTTGGTCGTATATGGCTATATATTATCTTGCACCTCGGATGCATGCAACTCAAAAAGTCTTCATATCTTTAAGTGGCCATCTGGATATATGAGATTCCACTTAAGCGGACCTGCTTCCGAATAAGGATTAGAACATCAACTGGTTCTTCATTTACGGCGAGGGCGGCGTTTCGGAAGCAAGGAATAATGAACAAGGTACAGACAGAGGTTGTTTTGTGGAATGGGGCCCAGGGCTCCGTTTCACAAAGCAATCTCAGCGCTACGACTAGCTAACGCGTATGTTACGATCGTCGGGAGTTACGATCGTCGTATAACTAAAATCACTCTTGCAGGACATTACTGTCACTCCCGGTTCGCCCCGATTATGTTTCTAGGTTTGTCAGCACCATACCCGTGCTCGTGGGTTTCACCAATGTGGTAAACGTCTGAGACCTGCATAACTTCGGGCTTTCCTCCCACATTAAGCTGACACGCCGTGATATAACTGGAATACTGTTAAAAGCGGCGTTAAACCCAACTCACTCACTCACTCATTACTGTCACAATCAGATAGTTTGTTCTTTCGAATTTGTGGGGGCCGGGGAGATTTGTCATCTTTTGATGACTCTTTTATAATAATGTTATAATCTATCATGTCAAACTAAAAAGGTCATACATGTCATTGAATGTACCCTTTCTGGATGGATTTATGTTGGAAATTATCGACACGAGTCAGCCAGAAAAGATCTGGCATCAACAGAAATGTTTCCACTCTTGTCTACCAAAGTTTCAGCTGTCATCTGGCTGCCCAACATGAAAAGTATGTAGTTGTTCCCACTAGCAAATAACATAACCATTATATGCAAGCATCACTGCATTAATTGTTTGATGAAAGAACTTGGTATAAATGACATATCAAATAAAGCCACATATACTCTTCCAAAAAAAAGAAAAGAAACGCAATACGGATATTTTGGCCAAAGCAAAATTAGCGGACCAAGATGTGCAAAATGAAGAGGTTTACTGTGTTATAGTGTCAGTGACAAATTTCCCGGATCCAAATGATCACAAAAAGGACATGCAAACAATTAGTCGGGAAACATGTACGAATCGGGAAAAAACCGCACCGAGTGCATTAACAAAAGGGCCATGGAGCTGCACGTACTGCACGTACAGCAGCACTATGAGTGGTATTAAAGTGCAGAGGTTTTGATTGCCTGGCATCTGCGTCAATCGAACAGTGACAGTTCGACAACATGCCAAGCTTAACAGAAATGCAAAGAAACAACGTCATGGGCCGCTTGCAGGCAGGGGAATCCCGATCAGCTGAAGTCAGGGTTTTCAATGTAGCGCCCAGCACCATCACAAGGTTGGGACGACCTAAGAGTAACCACCCCCGCCCAAGATCGCTACATCCGACTGCGCCACCAACGTGAAAGGACGACCACAGCCACCTCAACCGAATCTCCGGCCAGACTGTACGAAACCGTTTAAGAGCAGCAGGTTTACGAGCAAGGCGTCTTGTTCGACGCGTCATATTGGGTCGACAACATCAACAATAACTACATTGGTGTCGTCAACACAGGGTATGGCCTCAGCTGGATGGAGAGATGTCTGGTTCAGCGACGAATCAAGATTTCTCCTCCGTCGAGGATATGGAAGAGCACGGGTCTACAGACGTCGGGGAGAAAGTTACGCCGGAAACTGCGTACAGGAAGTGAGTGAGTGAGTGAGTGAGTGAGTTGGGTTTAACGCCGCTTTAAACAGTATTCCAGTTATATCGCGGCGTGCGTACAGGAAGTGAATGACGACTATCTCTCATCATGGCAGGACAGGTTTGGTCCATATCCAGGGCAAACTTACGGCTCAACGATACATCAACGAAATTCTCCTACCACACGTCCTCCTAATTGCAGCCAACGGCAACGGTGTGTTCAAGCAGGACAACGGTCGATCACATACAGCACGGATCACAAGAGCCTGTATACACAACAACAGCGTTGATGTTCTCCCCTGGCCCTCCAGATCCCCGGATTTGAACCCGATAGAGCACCTGTGGGATGAATTGGATAGACGGCTGGTGATGATTTTTCAACTTTGTACACCACTATCCCACATGAAAAACTGAAGGAAAATACTTTATTCCTTGATCCATTGGCTTTTGTTACTAAACGTGGTGAACACAGATACAGTTACCTATCTATATATTCAGAGGTTCAGGACAATTTGTGAAAACGAAAGCAAATGCCATCTGAAGTTTATTGAGAAAACAATATGTCAAATGCTGGACCTCCTAATTGATAACATCTACGTAAAATATTGGGGTAAGACATTTAGGCAAAAAATAGGCATCCCAATTGGCACTAATTGTGCTCCCCTTCTTGCGGATCAGTTTCTTTATGCATATGAATCGGAATTTCTGCTCGGACTGGCAAGGTCAAAGAAGATAATTTGGCCAAAAAGGTTAACTATAGCTTCAGGTATATCTATGACGTGATGTTGTTCAATAACAATCAAATAGCCAACTCCCTTCCACTATTTCACACACATGAACTAGAAATTAAGGAAGTGAGACCGCCTCATCTGTTTCATATTAAGATCTATGCATGAAGATTCAGAGTGACAAAACACTTTCCACAAGACTGTAGGATGACTTCAACTTTCCAACAGTCAACTTTCCCTTCATGTCGAGCAATATTCCAGCAGCTCCAGCCTTTGGTGTTTACATTTCAATTTGTTTAGATACAATCGAGCATGCTCTTTCTTCCAAGATTTCAAACAGCATCATACGACTCAGAAGTTATTGATCAAGGTTACAACATTCGAGGCCTCAGTAAAGTTTTCAAAAAGTTTTATGATAGACATGTGGAGGGCTTTTCCAAATTTGATGCATCAGTGACCAAAATTATGTCCGATGCAATTCCCTATTTTGACTTGTAGCATATGTTTCCGTGCTTTTTCAGGTGAACAGGATACCTTTTGCGAACACCTGGCATCATTACTATTTGATAGTGATTCATTAACACATGCTCTTGACACAGTCGGAATCGGACGATCGACCCTCCTTCATGCAGAGATTTCTATTGGATATGGAAACTGTTTTGTCGCTCTTTACGATCATCGTGTCCTGTAATCCAAATCCACACAGTAGGTAACGTCGTGAAATACAGATGCAATGATGGCCACCGCCCAGTCGGAACAAAGCAATGTCTTGAAAATGGAACCTGGACAAAGTTCTCCTGTTATAAAGTACAGTCTTGTGTGGGTGTACGAATGTGTAATTCGTCTTACACAGACGGTGAATACTGGATATTCAGGAGGAAGGTTATGTTTGGAAAAGTAAAGGTCTACTGCTTCAACATGGCTTCTACAAGGTCAGCGTATGTTAGTTTGTTGGACAACTACACTTCGGTCGTGGCAGGACCTCGAGACAAATGTGGGGTAAACCGAGACAATGTGACCGTTAAAGGTGAAATGACAGCATGGAAGATTAATTTAATGGGTTCAGATGTGACCAGCCCAATTAATCCTGCTTTCCGAGCAGGCAATTTCATCCCTATTCTTACCACTGGGGATTGTAGTGAGCGGCATGACGAATGTGATGATGGACCAAGCTTTTTCAAACTCAATCTCACTGGGACTGGATTCATCGTCGACATTAATGGAGAATGGGCAACTACCGGAAATGAGTCAGTCAATGTCACCTTGTCCGAAGATCAGCGCGTTATAAAGGGGGTTTGTAAAGGAGACTGTGTCGTGTGCTCTCTGAAAGTGAAGGCTGCTTTAAAATTGGACCCAGCATACACACCACCCTTAGGGAGTGCCATTATGCCAGTGTGTGACCACGGCTAATAATGTGTTATAGTCAGCAGTGATGGGGATTTTCTCCGTTTGTTTCGGGACCGACTATTTGATATTCCTTTTTCTGTAATTGAAATACAGTAGTTGTAAACTAGCAAGTGTGTGATAGTATGATAGGCCAACAGATGTCCGTTTTTTTTGTAATGTGATTAGTTGCAGGTAAGCACAATCACGTGTTGTTAAGTCACAGTCTTGAATAAACGGCCGGTCAAGTGGCAGGCTCCTTTCCCTACTTCCGCGTATGTCGTTCTTCCTTGAGAACCCAACATTTTTGTTTGGTTCTTGTTTCTTGCACTCAGCAATAGTCTAGTTATATGACGTCGGTCTGTAAATAAACGAGTCTTGACCAGACATGGAGAATGGGCAACTACCGGAAATGGATCAATCAGTGTCACCTTGTCCGAAGATCAGCGCGTTATAAAGGGGGTTTGTAAAGGAGACTGTGTCGTGTGCTATCTGAAAGGGTGGGCTACATTAAAATTGGACCCAGCATACACACCTCCCTTGGAGAGTGCCACAA